AGTTTACTATTGATTATTCATCAGATTCAACTCATAAAAAATCTGATTAGTAATGCATAAGATATGTATTATATCATTAATCAGATTTTTTATAGGCTGAATCCAATAAATAGTCAATGATAAACTTGAAAGCCCGGTGTCATATTTTCCCATGATAGCACTCTGATGCCATTCATATGATTAAAGCAGTAAATTGCAGCGATAAAAATTCTTGAAAAAAAAGGGTATTTAAAGCATTTCTCTAAAAGTATCAAGTGTGTCGAATATTAACGTTCTTTTAGTCGTTTCTTAAACCGTTCACTCATATTTGAGGATGTGCTCAATTGCCTTGAGCAGAACATCGGCTCTAGGGTAATACCCTAACAGCTTGGTAATTGGGTTTGGATTTTTTTTATTGAATCCATTGTCATAAACGTTAACTGTTTGAAGGTATGTCCAAATTGCCTTAAGCAAGACATTGGCTCTAGAGTTTTACTCTAATGGCTTAGCAATTGGGTTTGGACTTTTTTTTTAAATCATTTTGATTTTACTGTTCGTGTATTTTTTTTTTTTAAATTCATTGTTATGAACATGAATGAACTGTATGAAAACATGCCTAATTGCCTTGAGAAAGACATTGGCTCTAGGGTTTTACTCTAATGGCTCAGCAATTGGGTTTGGACTTTTTTTTCAAATCATTTTTGATTTTATTGCTTATGTATTTTTTTTTTTAAATTCATTGCTATGAATATAAATGAATTGTATGAAGGTGTGCCTAATTGTCTTGAGCAAGACATCGGCTTTAGGGTTGTATCCTAATGGCTCGGTAATTGGGTTTGGACTTTTTTTTCTAAATCAAATTTTTTTTTGATTTTACTGCCTGTGTAATTTTTTTCTTTTTGAATTTATTGTTTTGAACATGAATAAACTGTATGAAAGCATGCCCAATTGCCTTGAGCAGGACATCGGCTCTAGGGTTCTACCCTAATGGCTCGGTAATTGGGTTTGAATTTTTTCTTTTTGAAAATGTGAGTTCTCTGAAATATCACTACATATGTTGTGCAACATTCTCCCTAAATAAAAACTTAAACCACACTAATTCTCCTGAACGCATTAAAAAAAAATGTCTTCACGAAATAGAAATATTAAAAAAAAAGCTCGTACTATTAGTAAGAAGGTTCGGCATAACTGGAGTGTTTGCGAAAAACTTATAGTGGTTTATTATTTTGAATGTATTAAAAATGTAAGAGCAACTGCAAGGCGATTTGATATTAACCTAAACAAGTTCGTGACTGGCGAAGTAAGAAGCAAGAACTTTTAAATGCAGCACCTTATCTTTTAACACTCAATCCTGGCCGACTAGCTCTGTATCCCCTTTTAGAAAGAAGGCTAGTTGAATGGGTTGATGTGCTTTGTAGAAAACAGGTGGCCGTTACACAAAATATGGTTATTAGATAGGTGAAAAAATTGGCTCAAACTAATGAGATAAAGGATGTATATCCTAATATTAATGATCTTAAGTTTTCTAATAGTTGGCTCTGTGGATTTTTGTATCGTAATGAGTTATCAAATCGCTGGCACACAACAATTTCGCAACACCTCCCTAAAGATCTTATTGACAAACAAAATGAGTTTTTAAGCTTAGTTTTGTTTAAACACTGTCAATACAATTATAATGTCCAATATATTGGAAATATAGATAAAACATCTTTGGCATTTGACTTGCCTTACTCAGTAACTCTCGAGAAACGTGGAGCCAAAACAGTAAGCATCCGGACAACTGGAAATAAAAAGACCTCCTTTACTGTAATTTTGGGATGTCTTGCTGATGGAAGAAAGCTTCTAGCAATATGCATTTTTAAATTAAAGAACATTCCCTGTGAAATTTTTCCTGAAGGTGTTGTTATTCATGTGAATGGAAAAGGGTGGTGCAATGAAGAGGAAATAAAATATTGGATCAATAATGTGTGGTCTAAGCACAGTAAATTAGAAAGCACCCAATCTCTCCTTATTTTGGATTCGTTTAGAGGTCATACTGTAGACCCTGTTAAACATCAATTTCACGAAAACAATACTTATACTGTGGTTATTCTGGGTAGACTAACCAGTAAATTGCAACCTCTTGATGTAGCAATAAACAAATGTTTTAAGGAAAAGGTATAGTGTATTTAAATATTTATTATTTATAGAGTACATTAATAACAATTTAAATAATAGGTGTGTTTTTGTTATAACCAATGGATGATCAACAACCCTCATCAATTTACACCTGCTGGACGTATTCGAAAGCCATCATATTCCACTTTAGCTCAATGGG